TCATTACTCAGTGTAATAATTAATATGACAACTGGACGCTGAAGTTTGTATAGAAACACCTCGGCTGCAGGAGAGAGCGTGCAGTGGGTGGTAACAAGCTACAGATCAGACCGAGAAGCCACACACACAAGGAAGGGAAAAAAAAAAAAAAAAAAAAAAAAAAAGAGGTAGAGAGAATAATGAATGAAAAGAAAGAGAGAAAGAATAAAGATAAATAAATAGTTGATGCAACCTGAAGAAACATAATACAGACTTGGAAGGAAAAAAAAAAAAAGGCAACTGGGGGGGGGGGGGTGTGGGAGGGCAACCCCAAAGAGGTAAACTTCTTTTGAAACAGTTTCTATGTGAATATAATTTTCAAAACTTTGCTACTTTCAGAAAGCAGGAAAGCGATTTTTCCCTGATGGCTATTCCTTTGGTAAGTAATTTTCAAGGATTATCTGCCTATACTTTTCCATACTTGATAAACTTTAATGTCTCTTCCTGAGGGTCCCTTTACAGAAAGAAGGACTTTGAGCATTAAACCGTATTTCGTGAGTAATTGTTCCCCATCCTGACCAGGGTGGAGGAATCCTGGTTCTCTGGATAGTGAGTTGTACGAGTGAAAACTAGTGTTGTACCGTTTCGTGAGGAATAAAGCCTGTGCCCCAAGGAAGAATTAAAAGTGTTGTTTGACCAGGGACACTGCTGAATTATTCTCGAAAGGCGTCTTGGGATGAGCACTCATCACTTTGCAGACATTTCTTGGGCTGCCAATTAGGGCATAATAAATAATTAGAGGTTTTAAGCATATTAGATACAGCTCATGCTAATGAGCTACATCAGGTCTTGTGCTAACCTGAAGTGACAGTTTGCATATAGGGCTTAAAAAAAAAAAGGAAAAAAAAAAAAAAAAAAAGCAGCAGCCGCGGCAGTGGCCCCTCCGGCCCCAGCCCCGGCCCCGGCCCCGCCGGCCCTTCCGCCGTTCCCGCGGGTCCCTTCGAGCGCTGCCGCCGGGGTGCGCGGTGCCCCGCGGCCCTCCGCGCCCGCGGAGCGGGGCCCTTCGCCCGCCGGCCCCGCCGGGTGGCCCCATTGTGCGGCCACGCGTCCCGCGTCCATCACAGCCCCGGGGGATAAATCACATCGGGCTGCCCTCCCCCCCCCGCCCCCGCTCCCTCGCTCCCCGCCTCCCCCCATCGCCACTTTTTGGAGAGCAGCTCCATTTTGGAAGCGGTGTGTGTGTGGGGAGGGTGTTCCTGGCGGCTCCGAGGTGGCAGTGCCCTGGCAGGAGGGGGGCGAGGGGGCTTTGGGTGATGCTTGCCGCAGCCTGGGAGGCGGACACCCCCCCCCCCCCCCCCACCGGGGGCAGGCGGCGGGGACAGCCGGGTCCCCCCTCCCAGTCCCGCTCCCGGCCCTGGCGGCCGCTGCCGTGAGGGCACAGTGCCACCTCCCGGCCACGCCGCGCCGCGGGGGGAAGGAGATGCGGGGGGAAATCCTATGGGGAGGGGATGGGGTGCGGTCAAAAAGCATTTAGCGGCGTGCTGCGAGAGGTGTCGGGGATCCCGGCTCTGCAATGAGCGGGGCATGTGGCTGGGCAGTTTTGCAGCCACGGTGTAAACCGAGGTGTGAGGAAATGCAACGCGGCTGGCGCGTAACGGAGAGCTGCAGCACCTGGAGACCTCTGGTAGATGTGGACACAATATCGGTAAGGGGGGGACGGGCCCGGCCTTCACACACACTCCCTGAGATGGTCGCTGAACCCTCATTTGGGAAGTTTTCAGGAGCTTCTGGTTTTACTAGGAAAGCATCTCACCATTGCTCACTGCTCCCTCAAATGGCCCGGGACATCCTGAAGCAGCAGGGCAGCCAGGGAGCTGAGGGCCAAGGACATTTCCAATGTCCTTCCACAGGAAGGGGCATCCCTGCCCAAACCAGAAAACACACAGCTCCAGGGAAGCCACTGCTCAGCAAATACTGGCTAAAGGCAGAGGCGGGAAAGAGCAGTCTGAAAAGCAGCCAAAGTCCGTGGCCCTTTGAACTTGCATCATGCTGGCCAGGGGAACCTGCCAACTTCCAGTGCAAAGAGACCTCTTAGCTGTGGCTGAGCAGCGCAGCCAGGAATGGTTCTGTGTGTGTGCGTGTGTGTGTGCGCCCCAATAAAGTCTGTGTTTCTGAGTGTGAAAATATGTTTTTAGCTGGAGGCAATGTGGGACATTGGTGCATATCTGCATGTCGTTGAAAGGCATGGGGTTACAAGGTACTGCAGCACCCAGAGCAGGATGGGTAGACCCAAAGCTCAGGTGCTCATTCAGGGGCTGAGGAACAAGACTCATGGGGTAACTTGGAACCCAAGTGGGAAATCCCAGTTAGCAACGGCACTGCAGGGAGATGAACCTGTGCTTGGTATGCTGAACTCGTGCTTCAAAGGGGTCAGGGAAGCTCAGGCAATTTGGACTCTGAAATGGTCCAAGGTAGCCAGTACTGATGCAATTGTGAGTTCATACTGTAACAGCACTGGGCACTCACACACGCACACACACACACACACACACACACAACTTTGCTCCAGAACAAGAGAATTTGGGAATATCTCCTGGCAAGAAGGAGCTTAGCTTCCCCCAGCCGATGCCTTTTGCTACCAGGCAACCTCTGACAGTGCAGATCGATTAAACAGTGGCCTGTTGGCAATACACTGGTGATGCTGTTATGATTATGTAGCAATAAAAGTGAGAGGTAAGCTTGCAACAGAAATAGAAAAAGCAGGCAGTAGGAGGAGGCAAAGCAGATAATTACGAGGATTTAGCATGAGCAGTATTTCGCATACCTGATACTGCACTTTGCCTTGCCATTCCTGTCAGGTTAAAGAGAACAGAGGGTGTGATACATATGAAAAAGGATGGAAGAAAGGAAGAAAAGACTAAATGCATGTAAAAGACACAGAAAAGGAAAAAAGATTGATCAAAGGCTAGTGAAAAGAGAAGGAAAAAAGGAAGAAAAAGGAAGGTGTAAACAAACAACAAAAAAAATAGTTTATGACTTTGGATGCCACTGTTATTTTGGCCAGCCTTAGGACATGCATTTAAGTTTTCTAAAATCTAGTTGCAAAATATACCAGGTAGCAAGGCATGGTGTGTGGGGAAAGTAAACAAGACCAGTTGCTGGAGGCTGTCCTGCCCTCTACAGGGACTACTGTAATCAATGCTGTCACCATTCTTACCTCACTGGATTGGGGTTTTTTGCAAGGTGGCTTTCAATGTCCCTATCATGGATAGGACCGTCCCAGTTGCTGCACAAACACAGGACACAAAATACTGCCTCCTGTAGTGAACTTACTGGCAGAACAGGTAAAAATGAGTAGTTTTTCTACTGCTGGCAATTACCTAGGTTAACCTCCTTTTTTCCTACTGCCCCATGTCTCCTTGCCCCAGCCTGCTGCCACAGGGTCAGCAGGGCCCACTGTGCTATGTGTGCATCGCATTTGGCTGCCTACCTTCATCTGCCAGCCCCATAACACAGCCTTGCTGATCACTTCAGAAAGTCACTTTCCACCCCTATGTGCAGCCACAGGATGCATAAACAAGCAGCTCTTCTGAAAAAGGTATGTATTCACACCCAAAGCACAGAGCTACTTCAGATGCACATTTTACAGTTAATCATTTCGGTGGGCTGGGTTCTGACTTTACAGTCATGGGGTGCAACATGGGTTTGGACTGAGATCCCTGAAAGTGGCTCCACTCAATTTCCCTGCTATAAGACTGATTGGATTTAGCAGCTATTGGATTTTGTAAGTACCAATAATTCACTGTAAGTCTTATGTTAGTACTCACCAATCTGAGTTTGCACTAGTGCATGTAGTAGAGCTTCCCTCAAGGCTAAAATAACTGTAAAGAGATGATTTATTTATTCCACAGAATTTAGCTTTATCGCAAAATTGTAGCAAGATTACCTGCCTTGACATAGTTTGTCTTGGTACAGACTTCATCTTTCCAAATAGCAAGATAGATACTTGACCAATTGGTTTGGATATTTTATTTTGTTTTGTTTTGTTTTTTCACCTGCCCTCTGGTATTGGGCTACAGCTTTCCATTACTCCCTCAACCCCTTTGATGACTCTTTCTAAACCAAATCTCTTTATATACCAAGCTCTTTTATACCAATCCTTTACCAACCTTTTCTGAAATAATTTACACCCCCCTCTCCCTGTTCCTTTTGTATCTCTCCATGGATAACACGATACACAATCACACATAACACCTTCTGCTGTTCTTCTGCATCCTCCTGCCCTCTAGCTCGGACCTACTCTTCTCTCCTCCTTTTCATCCTTTACCTTCCTCCCTTTCTCCATGTCCATACTCATATCCCAGTGTGAGGTGTACACAGCTAACTCGTGTTTCACTCTTCTTTTCCACTGAGTATCTCTCTACAGTGTCTGGTGTGTGGAGCGATGTCTCCTGATCTCTGACGTCTTAGATATAGCCCAAAAGGACAAATCCCCCAGCTGCTGTCCTGTGCCACAGCACTCCCTGGTCCCATGTCTGGCATCCAAAGAGCAGATCCTGGAGAACATCTGATCTCTGGTCACATGGAGCAAGCCCCGATGGGAAACCCGCTTGAGGCTGAACACGCATGCAGCAGTGGGAATGGACCGGGGGGGGGAGGCTGAACAGAAGACGACATGTTGACGTGCAAAAATGAAAACAGCAGCTGATGTTGACCAGGAGGAGGGAGGCTGTTAATTCAAAGCATGCTGCTTGTCCACGTTGGGCGCAGATAGAAACAATATGCTGGAGAGCCGCTGTGTGCCAGGGTGGGACTTGCAGGGGCTGGCTGGCATGGAGTGGCTTGTCCATGTGCCAGGGGTGGGTGGGTGGGGGGCGTGTAGAGAGAACGCCCCCTTGGCAGAGTGTCCAGGGGAGGGAGCGGAGGGGAAGGGCGGGGGGAAAGGGGATGGCTTTGCCTTGTTTGCTCCACTTTAAATACCTTTGCACAGAGCTCTGGCCGCTGTAGTAAGGTCAGAAGGCTTCACCTGCAGCAGTGAAGGGGCCTCCCTGTGTGGGCATCGCTGCCTCTGCAACATGGATGCACAGCACTGCAAGATGAACGGTGACCCTTTCCAGGTAAGAGATGGGATCTGTGTGCTCACTCTTCAGAGGGCAGAGGCTGTGGCTGCCTCCCTCCTGCCCACCCCCCCTTGCAAATCTTGTCCCCTGCACTCTGAGAGGCAGTGTGACCCAAGATAGGAGGAAACTATCCGCCTGTCTTGATGCTTTGCCGTGCCTGGTTGCCACCATTCTCCCTTTAGGAAGCCGATATACTTGTCTGTTGTTAATCGTGCTCACAAAAGTGCAGTGAGAACAAAAATGAACATTGCAACCATATCATTGCATATATGGCAAAGAGAAGAAGAAACAGAAAAGACCATCAGTTAATTAGAGGTCTTAAACATATGTGATGAAAGCAAGCTGTCTTCTTCTATTAAAGGAAAGCAGCTGAAGTTATGTGCTCCTTCTGGTGGAGCTATTCGTTAAATTTTGGGACTCTGACATCCCCTCTTTTAATGTTTACTGACTTACTTTGAACCCTTTGCTGTGGGAAATACAGGGAAGTCCTTTTTATTACAAGCAGTATAGTAAGTGCAGGGGCAAGTGATGTAACCTGAAGTCAGCATGGTTAATTATTAGGACCAAATTCTGCATGTATGAATCCTATGCAATGCTGCTCAAGCCAGAGACATACTGCAGAAAATGTGCAAAAAACGGCTTCAGTTTCTACAACTCTTTTTAAGAGTGGAACAGCCAAGGAAGCCTAGTTTCCTACTGCTCTGTGTGCTGAGGTTGAACTCCTATAACAATTTTATAGGGTCTCACCTTGCTGCTTTTCCAAGTTGTATAATTGCTTGGTTCCAATGGCATCTATGAGAGCTGAGCATCTAAATGCCTTAAGAAATCTGACTTGGAAACTAGTTCCATTTTCAGAAGTAACTTAGAAATCTTATTTCCTCTGAAATATTTATTTCTCTTCTCCCCCCACTACTATTTTGTGAATCTATTAAGTCTGGAATTTATGACACAGAGGTGACATTCTTCTCTCACTGAAACTGGAAGCAAAACTTCTGCTGGCTTTATCAGTGTTTGAATTCATTTTGAAGGGCTTTATCTAACCAGCTCAGAAAAGGATTAGAAGGCAGACAGGTCTGTGTTATTGACCTCCAGTGCTGCCACGTGTATCAGGAAGGCAATAGAAATCTACGTGCAAAGCAGTTAAATAAAAATGTAGATGTGCATTGTGCTCAGGTAAACCCATCCTTGCACCTACACATCACCTACCTTTGAGACTGTACTATGTCCAGTAATGGATGTTCATGTTCATCGACTGGTTCTTATTTTACTTCCTGGGAAAAAAAAAAAAAAAGGAGCTGGAAGAAAGTTAGAGCTTAATTTATTCCACATTATATTTATAAATCATACATGTCATATACGCAATACTTCACTGACAGTGAAACAATTTATTCAACTCTTAATCATAACAACAGTAGTAACGGAACAGTAGAACTACCCCAAAGTTGCAATTCCTCTCCATATGTTGAACAACAAGAAATGAGAATTGAGAAAGGATAAACTGTGATCAACAGATAAAACTATGCATATGTACCACTAAAAAGCTCGGCAATAAATGTGACTGCCTGTGTGTATGTTGATGTGTATTACCTCCAGTGTATTTGTTGCTGTATAGTGTCTCCAGTGTGTATTGATGTATATTGCCTTTATATATATTGCTAAGGACTGAGTACTGGGAAAACAGTAATTTTACTCTTCTTTCCCCTTGCAATGAAAGCTGTAGTCTCTGTGGACAGATTCAGGCATGAACTAATGTTTGTACAAAAATCTTCCAGTGAACTGAGTGCATATGCAGATGTGCAAGAAATTAAGCAAGTATCACTCTGTTCACAGGATTAGTGCCTACTCCCTACTGCAGTATGTCTTAGTTTTAAGCACCAACATAAATCAATTTACAAGACTGGGAAAATGAGAGAGGACAAATTGAAACTGGCTGATCTCAACACATCAAGGCTAGCAACGAATGAGACTATATTTGGGTTGGAAAGATGTTTTTTAAGGCATTTTGGGGTAATCTCATGACACAGAGATCAATTAACATCAGAATTACTTGCAAGACTCGAACCTTGCATTATATCTCCTGCAGTGTCCACACCACAAATTCTTACTTTGTCATGCAGAGTCAAGTCAACCTGTCATAGAAGTTGCTCCCCACAGCATGTCTTGGCAAGAGTATTTTAAATACATAACTGCATGGCTTTTAAAACAATTCCAGTGCAGAACATGAAAATTAATTTCTTGGTCCACTGGGCAGACACTGGTGTAGAACAGTTCTGTCCTTAAGATCAGTTTTGGTTGTGGTGGGGGAAAACAGAAGGGCAAAGGAATGCATGGACAATATTTCAGATGAGTTTTGGTTACACTCTCACTGAATTTCTGGACTACTGATGATTGGTTTGCCTTTCTACTGAGTCCTTTGTGGTTGCTTGAGGTGTAAATGTGCTTCATTAGCCAGCTGCCACATCACTCCTGACTGCTTTTTCCCTTGGTCCCCACAATTTAAGAGCTGGACCAGCTCCCTGCCTGTGTGAGGACTCAGGAGACACAGAGATGCTGCGGAAAGTGTCACAGTTGGACAGGTGTCAATCTTCCCTCTAATGCATAAAACCAGTATTTCTACTACAGTTCCCACCAGAGGTTCCCCATAAAGGTGAAAAACATTTGGATAACCTTTGCAACCTCTGGAAATAAAGCCAGATAGAAAAATCTGTTGCCAGTCTGGTACTGAATTCTTAGGTTAGCAGCAGCCTCAGAAACAGCCCGAAGAATCAGCCATTATTTACTTTACAAAAGAAGGCAGTTCCTTATAACACTCGGAAAATGCAGCCCCACCAAGAACTTTATGGCTTCAGGGCAGCTGAATATGATTATTAATTTTTCTGCTACAAAGACTGTCTTTTCTAAGGACAATATTTGGGAACTGAGACTCTTTATACTTTGATTTCTATGTTAAATTAAACAATAGCTCTAAAGAGGACAGGCTCTGACTGAAAATACAGCTCTTCATAAAGAATAATTGAATGGATGCCTTAAGTCAAGTGTTGGCCCAGGACTTGTTATATCAGTACCCATCTATGTTGGAGATGTCTGGTGTGATCTTTGAAATACCAACCAGGGGCAATTTGTCGAAGGCTAGTACATGTTTTAAAACTCCCAACAAATAAGGTGTTAATGTGACTTCCAAAAGTTTGTAATGGTTGTGCCTCAAATTTACTTTGACATCTGAAAAATTAAGCGATTCTGGAAGTCTCAGCAGGCATTTAACATGCCATGTCAGGTACCCAGATAGTTTTGAAAATCTGGTCCCACTCAGGACTCAATTTACTGTTTCTGAAGTGGTGAGACAGCTCTTCCCTACTTAACAGGGGTTTTGTGAAGAGAAACACATGTACTGAAATGCACTAAGACTTTCTGGTAATGAGAACCATGAAAATAATTAAAATAAACCTTCTATTTGCTTGAGAATACTGGAAATTGCCGTTTGGAATTTGCAGAGCGGAAAATCAATAAGAGAAATGGAAAAAGCATAAATGAAAACACATCTTGCCCTAACTGTGTCTTTATTCACTGTGGAATTTAGGGAAGAGCTGAACATTTGCTCCAACATTTTTCAGAGTTTTTTTGTTTGATTGTTTTTTTTTTTGGTTGGTTGGTTGTTTAGGTTGGTTGTTTTTTTTTTTTTTTTTTGTTTGTTTTTTTTTTTTTTTGTTATTTTGTTTTTAGACCACCTATCATATCTCTCTTGTGAATACTACCTCTCCTGGGGCTACTTAGAAGGCACAAGCAGAACTGAAGGGAAACAGATCGTGGGCTGCATCTCTGCACAAAGCTCATCTACATTGTTCTTCTTAATCCTGTGTGTTAATGAAAAGAAAGCCTGAAGGAAGGGCTTTGCACTGTAGCCGAAACCAAAGTGCAGTAACGTTTCCATTCCCCCCTGAGCTTGATACACTTGAGAGGTGAAGCAAGGCAGAGATGATATTAGACCATTTTCATGTCCTTTTTGACTACCTTGCTCCCACATGGGCCCTAGTTTGAGAGAAGGGATTTGTGTCTCTACCATCAAAAATCGGAGCAGCCCCAGAGCTGCTCTACTACTTCTGACAGCAACAGTTGCTTTGATTCCCACTTAAAGCAACTTTATACTCTCTTTACATTGCTGATGCTGTGAAAAAGGTAAATGGAGCAAAGAAAAACTGACTCCTAGGGTGAATGTAAATCTTTTTGTTTGTTTGTTTTCTTTTCTTTCAGGAATCTATGTACATTGAAGAGTCCTCAAATAAAAATGGTGTGATTTCTTTGATTTTCTCTCTGAAAGAAGAAGTTGGGGCATTGGCTAAAGTTTTGCGCATATTTGAGGTAAATATTTTCCTTCAGGAGACCCAATCAGGTCTTTAAAGTTTTCAATTGCAACACCATTTGCTCAGGGTATTTGTGGTCATGTTTGTGATTCCATTTCATTGCCATAATGGGGGAAAGCAGCATGCATTTCTTTTCTGGGGTTAATATCCCTTAAAGCCTTGGATCAGAAGTAGCCTTTTAAAGTCAAAATTTTATTTCAAACTTTTAAATTAAAACCTCTACTTTTAACCGATATGAGGGTGGAAAAAATGCATATTGTCCATTTAAGAAGGAAATATTCCATTGTAGCTGCTTGAGTAAGAGGTAGAAGGGAATTGGGTCATAACCTGAGATTGACTTCTGAGTATGTGTAAGTGGATGTGTAAGTGTATGTGTATGTGTATGTGTATGTGTATGTGTATGTGTATGTGTATGTATATGTATATGTATATATATAGAAAGGCAAGTATAATCTGCACATGATCTGAGTGGCTTATAGTGCACATGTTGTATGAAATATTTCTACAGGGGCAGCTACCATCCTCTTAGCTCTTGTACGTCTCAGTAAATCTGATACAAATAAGCCTGCCATCTCCCACCAGTGGTGCTTATACAGAGAGGGTGGAGGATACCTACAAAACAACATAAAAATAATAGTACTTTGTTTATGCCAAAGAGTCTCAAAATCTGTACTGGAAAATTTGGAATCCTTTTGGGGAAACAAGAAGCCATTTACCTTCCAGGACTTTGTGTGCCTATTTATTCTTGCAGAAATATCTCCCAGATGTCATGGATGCTGTTTAAAAAGCATGAAAGCCTTACAGTTCAGGATGGTTGTGTTGCAACACACAGAGCTGTGTACTCAGTGCTTCCACGCAAATAATGTTCTATTGGTTTTGTGACTTCCTTTTTTTTAGAACATCATCATGTAATAGTTGTGCCTAAAAGTGGCTCTTTCTATAGAACACTGTAAAAAGTTGTGGCCTGCATACTTTCCATTCATAAACACGGCTGACTAGGAAATGAAAGGTTTGTGTGGTATTAATACAAATGAAAAATAGTTATGTGTTATAGGACATATTTGTTTTATCAAGATGAAGGGAAATTCGTACCAATGACAGCAGAGCTAGTCTAAACCTGTGAACTGAATACTGTAATACAGTCCTGCAAAATGTCTGTATGTCAGTGGCATGCATGTCTGTAAGTGAATTAAGGAAGTTGTTAATATCCTCTGGTTAAATGCACTGCTGTCTACTAACCAAATTGCTGTCAGCTCTAAAGGAAAATCTGCAGGGGAGCTAGGAAAGGAAAGAGAGAAGTAGCCAATTCTTAGATGTGACTCTTCTTGCCCCAAAGCAGGTTCCTAAATTAGACCATCTGAATCATGGATTTCCCCAGTGACCCTGATGGCAACTGAGGGGATGGGGATCAGCTAAAGATGTCTGCTCTGGTGACTGGATAGTTTCCCATTCCAATGAGGCCAATTCTTTCTGTGCAAACTTGCAGTCTCCCCCTAGCACGAAGGCTTGACAAGAGACCTAGCATAGGTGCTCTTATGTCAGTTTTGCATTCAATGTAGTAGGGAAATGGATGGATGGCTGGAGGAAAGGGATTTAATGGTACAAGCCTGACTTGCAGTTTCAGCTCTTCAGGGCTGCCATTAATGAATTAATGAGCACTGGGGTGTGTAAACCAGAGCAGCCCTCGGGCTGTTCTAACTCAGTGCAAAGGCTGAGGTAACCTCCACCCTTTCTCACCTGGGCCATAACCATGGTGCCTCAGAGATACAGACTTTGTGCTCAGTGATGTTCACAGAAGGGAAAGGTGGTGATACACAGGTGAGAAAAAAGGAGGAAGACCTCAAGAGGAATTTTTCTTCTTGTACCCTTTCCCTGCCTAATAAAATCAACTGTGAGATGCAGGTTAGTTACAGGAATTAGTTCAGACTCTCTACTGGTGGACTCCTCTGGGCAGGGAGAGCCCTCGCCTTGTCTCCAGGGTTTCTGTTGTTGGCTCAGAGCTGGCCCGGGGAAATGCAGTGGGTTTGTCTCAGAGGGGCGGCACAGGGAGGATGTGAAGACAGCTGCCCTGGCTGTCATTGCCTCATGCAACCACATGAAATGGGAAAAAAGAAACCACAAAAGCCACAAAATATGATCACACTGTTCCCTGGCGCAGACGCGGCACTGCAGCCGTTGACCCTCACGGAGGGCCAGACCTTGTGCAGCCACTGGTGCTGGTGGCCATGCGTGGCACTTTTGGAGCCCCTCTGACTCTTGCTGAGCCTGGGGGCTGCCCAGGCTGCCAGGGTCTCTCCAGGTACTCGTGCATGGGAACGCAAGCGGAGAGCGTAGCTCAGTCCTTTCCTCCTCCCAGCTCGCGCTTGGGAGTGATTAAGGGACAGTGCCTCCAGCACTGGCTTTGAGGATTTTGCCTCTTCTCTAGCCAATCTATAAAACTACCCTGGGACATGAAGAAGGGAGGAGGAGGATTAAGTAAGCTATAAATATGAAAGTTTTCAAAATAAATCCTCTCTCAAGACAGGGAAGAAAGTGTGGAAGCAAGATCCAGATGGAGACACAGGGAACTGAGGGTATGCCTAAACAAAGGAGAGCTCTTATGGTGCTAGCAGCAGCCAGGCTGCCTTTCTGTAAAGGAGGTGTCTGTGTGTACCTGGGGATGTTCATCCTCTACTTGGTTTAAGACCTGGAGGAAAAATTTTTGTCACTCTGGTAGGGCTGTTCAGTTAACGATTGTGTCCCTGCCCGGGATGAAGGAGCAGCTCCTCACTCCCAGGTTCAATCCCGCCCATGCCCTACTTTTGTGCTGGGGTGAAACTTGCCCAGGCATTAGCACCCACCACAGCTTGATCTCCCCGGGGAGCAGGAGCCCAAAGGGAGCAGCGCTGTGCTCCAGCCTGCCCCTGCACCTGGATAATGGGAGGTCCAGGGCTGCTGGCTCATCAAGCACCATGGCTGTACCCCAGTCCAGATGTAATCTGTACTCACCCAGGAGGCAAACCCCCCAGGGAAGCAAGTAGTGTCCAAACACAGCCCAGCTGAACTGGGTGAATCCCCATTGTGGGTCAGAATGGGCTGAAGGTAGGGGAGCCTCATATGCAGGTAGGTGAAGGCACAAGGCTGGTGGCTACAGAGAGAGCGCTCACGGTACAGAATGACATCCTGTAACTGAGACACCAAGTTTAAGAGAATTTCAATGTGTTTTTGGGGAAACATTAATGTTTGACCTAGGCAAACATCCCTCAGGGTTGCTCAGAGAGTTGACAGGCATGCTCTCACATTTGTGTTTTCGCTTAAAGACCCAAACTCTTCTGTTCAGGTCCCAGTTGCACACAAGTATGTGGCTACAATGACAAACTGTTGTTTTTCCTATATAGCTTGAAGGGTTTTTTTTCTGAGAAATCTCCTCTGTGTACTCAGCTCCTTATGTCTCCTGGCTTTATGTCCAAAATGTACTTGATTATATCCACATTTTTTCTTATATTTACTCTTGATTCGTATTCTCTCTAATGCTTTTCATCTGCTGGGCCAATGCACAATGTTCCAAAAGAGCGAGCAATCTGTATGGAAGAAGGGCTGGAGTTTCAGGAGGGCAGGCACATATTTGAAGAAAGACTATATGACTTTTTAAACTGAAAAGCTTAAATCTTTATCTGTTCCAGTGTGCATACAGCTTCCTTATGGGTTCTGCCTGGGCAACATCTCTGTCCTTACTGCAAGCTTGAGGGTGGCTGTAGAGAAAGCATAAACCCACTAGCAGAGTCTTTATGCCAAGTTCATTTTAATAGGACCTGCAGTATACTAGGGCACTGTTGGTGCAGCCATATACTGTTTATCTGGTTCATGCTGTTATAGAAGACAGTATCTAGGAAGCCAAAGCTTGAATAAATACTTGTTTGGAACAGAACATTACACATAAGCAAAATACCGTGCTTAAAATCAGGAAGACAGAATAGTCATTGTGGAATTATGTTTCTTTTTTGATTTACTGGACACATCAAGAAGTTACAAAGTATAAGTCCAGGTCAGAAAAAGACAGAAATCTCCCAAGGTTCTTATCAAAACTGAAACACCAAAGCAGAGCATTTCGGGTTAACCCAAGTGATACACTTGATAGGAATGTTTATTTTAATCTGTAGTGATAAAAGACTATTGAAATTGACATCACTTTTTTAAACAACAACAAAGTCCATGCTGAAAGAAAAAAAGTGGGGAGGAAAAAAAAGTTTTTCCTCTTACAGGATTGTTATTTCCAGAGTTAAATTCATCATTAAAAAATATCAGAACTGAACATTTTAATACGTAAATAGAATTACCCTCAGTTTAAATTGAAAATTTTCTGTGTGACTTTGTGTCGTGGTTTGGGCCTTGTTGGCAGCCAACCACAATGGAGCAGCTCTCTCTCCCTTCCCCTCCGGCAGTGAGAAGGGACAGAGAGCCAGGCTTGGGGTCAGAGATAGGACTGGGATGGGGAGAAAATCTCCCTTTTATGATCACGAGCAAAAGGCAGACTCGTTAGGGGAAGGAAAAAAAGAACATACATTTATTACAGACACTAACAACACGTAACAGAGTAGGTCAGTGAGAAGCATTGTCACATCTTGAGAACACCTTCCCCCCACCCCTCCCTTCTTCCCGGGCTCAGCTCTGCTCCCGATATCTCTACCTCCTCCCCCAGTGGCGCAGGGGCAGGGAATGGGGGGTGCAGTCAGCGCTGCCACTTCCTTCATGTTCGGTGAGGGGAGTGTCTGGAACTTGTTCCTCCTGCTCCATCGTGGTCCCCCTCTCACAGGAGACAGTTCTCCACAAACTTTCTCCGACTTGAATTCCTCCCATGGGCCTCAGCATTCCCCACACTGCTCCGTCATGGGTCACTAACTTCCTCCAACTGGATTCCCTCCCACGGCTGCAGCCCTTCCTGAGCTGCTCCAGCGTGGGACACCCTCGCATGCTGCAATCCTCCCAGCACTGAATTACAGCAGCGGGGCTACCTTTTCC